TTAAAAACTACCTGGCTTTAGACGACCTCTAAATATGGGAATAACGGAGAGAGAGTATAAAGAAACAAATAAGAAAGAGGCGAATGATAAAAATAGAACAAGGTGGAACAACGGAAGAATAATCGAAGTAGGATCAATAATAATTGTAAGGGATACGGATAATTATAAGACAGGGGCGGAAATAAAGAAATGATGCAAGTTTGGGGGGCAGAAATGTTACGATAGTAACACCGGGCTATCCAAGATTTTGAAGTGATCGGGCTGGTAAACCGGAATTGCATTAATGATATTCTGTGACACGTACGTGAATAGAATATTTGAATATTTTGAAATATAATTTGTTCTTATTTTACTAATTTTTTCTTATTCATAGGACAATTTCTATTTATCTATATAGCTATCGCAATTGCCTAAATCATGATAAGCTGTTTTATTCTTGACTTCTTTTTTATTTAATTAATATAGGATATTATCAGGCATTGACAAGAGCAGAATTTTAATTGGTCGGAAGCTTCATAAGCTCAGTGAGTCACCATTTCAATGAACGAAAACTAGAGGTGCAGATTGAGGAAGCTGCTTGAGAACACTCTTTAGTTTATATTCGATGATCATTTATAAAATCTTTAAGATAAATTATTTTTTAAAGAATTAATTTCTATTCGTATTAATTTGTATATGAGATAGTATTATTGGATCCGTCTTACTTCACTGCAATCATTTCATCGACATCTCACTTAGTCGACATCAAGTAACAATTTATTAAATGTATATACTTGCAACTAATAAAACGCTAAGCTAAGTGAACTTTCGGTGAAATGATTGTCGGTGAAGTATGTATAACGGTTATTCATTATTCGAAGTATTTTAAGTATTTTATGCAAGCATCTTAATTTTTTATATATGCTTAATTAATGTGATTATATATACTATTTATCAACTATCTAAAAATTTTTTTGTAAAATTAAATTTACAGATTCAAGTAAAGATTTTAAGAATTTTATTTTATAAAATCTGCTGAGATGGGTAACGCTAAAGGAACATATATGGTTGGGTATTGTTATCGATATGGAATTGGAGTTAAAAAAGATATACATAAGGCATTCATTTATTATCAAAAATCTGCAGAGATGGGGTATGTTGATGGAATGACAAAAGTTGGAAATTGTTATCTTTTTGGAATTGGAGTTCAAAAGGATGAGTATAAGGCATTCATTTATTATCAAAAATCTGTAGAGATGGTTAATGCTAATGGAATGTCAAAAGTTGCATAATGTTATCTAATTGAAATCGGAATAACAAAAGATCCGATAAAACCAAATTCTTGGTAAGAATGATAAGATTAAATAATTAAAGTCAGAAAATGTATTAGTTTGTGTCAGGATTAGAGTTAAAATAAGATTAAGGTAGAGCGGTAACTTAAAATTTGCAAAAAGTTTTTAAAAAAGTTGATATTTTAAATTTTATAAGCAAATTTCGAGTTATTTTGATTTAAGAAAAAATGATTATTATACCCAAGATTTTGAATTGGTGAACAATAGATTGGTGCTATATATTGACTGGATCCTTCCAGATTTTTAATGTAATAATGCGTAAACAAATTATGAAAATGTTAGTTTCGTTAAAGTAATATATATTAATTTAATTCATTACAAGTCTAATCATAAAGATCCAAAATTCTCATAGAGCATAAAAATCCAAGCTTCTGAATAATAAACCAACCATTAATATTCTATTACGTAGTACAGTATAATAAAAATTAACAGATGAGCGTGTAAAAGGAAAAGTAAAAAAGAAAATTAACAGATGAGCGCGTAATAGAAAAAGCAAAACAAGAAAATATAATTGATAAAGGCACAATTTTAAATATGTTTTTTTTATCTTATTAGAATTTATTCTTTTATTTATTATTGTTAATAACACGCTATATGATTTCATTAGAGAAGCCTATAATTAGAAGAACTTCCGCGCTTGTGGTGTTTACATAAACTGACTAAGGACAATTAAGCACGTCCACAATTAGAGATAGAAAAAAATGAACTTATGATTTGTTCATGTAGCGTTAGTTTAGAAACGGCTAATGATAGCGAATCTATTTCCATATGTTTTCTCAATGTTACAATATTAATAAAATTTTTTCCTGATGGAGCACAAATCGTTACTTTAATAAAACTTTAATTATTGTATTAGTATGTAGTATTTTATGCGTTGGATGGTATAATCATAGAAATAAATCAAATAAACTATGTGTACACAATTGACTTATGACGTATGTAAATACTATATTATATAATAAAGTTTTTATTTTATTTTATTTTATTTTTTTTTGTATTTCATTCAAATCATGGATTACGAAAGTGAAAGTTTAGACAATATTTCTGTTTCAACGCAACCTAATAAAAAACAAAAAATTTGTAGTGGTCCCAACTTTGATGAAATTTGGTTATTTTATAAAAGAGGTCCTGGCAGAGGAATGGATTATTAAGCATCTTGTTCTCACTGTTCAACTGCTTGGGAACTTGGAAAACCACAAGTAATGAAAGCATATTTGGCAAATCACTGTGTAAATTGCCTCAAAAACATCAGCAATTATTGACATCAAAGTTACGTGAAAAAGCTAATATAATTCATTTTTGAGCAAGTGATTTACAAGATGCAGATTATATTTCTTTTAAATAAAGTCTTGGATTAATCAATCAATATTAATAGCATGAGTTATAGCTAGAATTCAATTTGAAGTGATTAAAATCCTTTTATATGGGATTTATTTAAAAAATTAAAGTATGATTTACCATAAAGACCTACTTTTCAGGATGGCTTTTAGATACTGAAGTAGCAAGAGTAACAAATTTGGTTAATAAAGAACTTGAATATTGTAATAATCTAATCTTAAGTATGCAAATATAAATACATTATTTTTAATGCTTGGCACAATTAAACAAAAATTTGACAATCAAATACTTATAACTAAATCAGATATCAAATGATTGCAGGTTAACTAAAACTGAAAATATAGTATTTGTTGACTTGTAGTCATTTGATATTTGATCTAATTACATGTATTTGACTGTCAAATTTTTGTTTGATTTAGCTAAGCACTAATTATTTTTAATTACTTTATATATTCAATTTAATAGTCATATATATTAATTTTAATATTAGATAATTGGATATTCTCACATACAAATTTGCTTTATAATTATATTATATTTATAATAAATTAAAAAGAATATATTTTAAGATTAAAAAATTATTCATCTATTATACTTACAAGTGAATTTTTTTTTATTAAAAATTTCTAATTTGATTGAAGTTGGGGTAAAAAAAAATTTATAGTAGTAGTTATAGATGCTGTATCTAATTGTTATTCTGCACAAAAAATAATTTAAAAAATATATTCTTATATTTAATATATATACTATATTTCTTAAACCATTACTAGTTAGCAGGCAAATTTGGTTGTTAAAATATTAAAATTATTATATTTGATCTATTTTTGTTAAAATTTAAAATTTTAAAAAGCAATTTTTTTTAAAAAAAATAAAAATTTATTTTTACTTATAAACAAACTTTTTAAAATTTTAAAAATAAATATAGTTGAAACTTTTCTTGTCTATCACTTGAACAAAAATTTTTCTAAAAACTAACTTAACAAAATCTCAATTTTTGCAATAATTTATTAAAACAATCTAATCTCTTGTTCTAATAAAACCTTTCTATGTATAAAATTATATATAATATCTAAATTTTAAAGAGATAGCTCTTAAACTTTTTAAGTAATAGTCTTCCAGACCAAATACGTTTCTTTTGCTGTTTACACAAAACCAGATTCTAAACCTCTTCTTAAAGCATATAACAAGTTATTCTACAAATTTTTCTCTTCAAAACAAGCTATAATAGACCTCTATAGCTTCAATATTAACTGAGTTATAAGCAAAACAATTTTTAACTCTATTTATCTTTTCTCTCTTTTTTTTTACTTGGAAAATTTCTTCTTTTCCAAACAACTAGAGATGTTTTCTGTGTAACTATAGCCACCTCAGCCATGCTACCTACATTGTAACATATTACAAAACTAGTGGTGCCTGCCAAATTATACCAGAATTACTAATTTTTAATTAAAATTGTACAATTTTTAATATCTATCTTTTTTGTAACCTTTTATTCATACAATAAGATTTTCTTTTTGGGCTGTATAACACATGATCTGTCACATGATTCGTGTAATATAAAACTACAAAATCCTACTTTTAGATTACATGACCTTGTGTAAACTAAAATAAAGGCCTTATTTTTATCTACCCCTAAATAATTTATTTTAAATAACTCTTGTTCTATTCTTATACCCTTTTTCAACTTAGAAAAAAACTTTACAAAAAACCTATTTTCATTACAAATTCTAACTAATAAATATCTACCTTAAGTCAAGAAACCAGATACTGTTAATCTTGATATTTTTTTCTTTCAGTATTAAAACCATTATGAAATTTGGACCTATGTAGACAACTCTAATAACCTTAAACCAAACAATAAAAATTTTATTTTTAAAATTTGCACAACTCAATTATATTCTACCAGAAAAGCTACTTACTTCTTTAAAGCTTCTTCACCTATAGCTACTGTAATCTGCTTATGCAAAAAAATTTATACTCACTTTATCTCTATTATTCAACAATCTACTTTTATTTCAAATTCAACAATCTACTTCTCTTAATTTTACTCAATGCCAATAAACTTGCTCCAAATACCAGTAGCCTATTTTATGCACCTTTTCTCCTAACAAACAACTTTACACTTTAGATACTATTAATATCTTTTCCAATAATAACATTATTTATAAAGCATGCTATTCTATTATTACTAATACAATTCAAACTACAACAATTCAATCTACTCAAACTACTTATGCAAACCACTTATCTCATTTAATATTCTAATCCTTTTCAATCTTCAAACTCAACTTTATACAAGCTCTACTTCCTCTTTCTAACCCTCTACTTTTGCAAATCCACCTTCTAATTCTCATCTTTCTACTTCTTCTTACCAATCTTCATTGCCTTCTAATCAATTCTCTAACCAACTTCCTATTTTCTCTCAACACCAATATTTGCTTTTACTTTCTCTTCAGCCAATTTTATCTAGTAAACCTAATATTCTTAATCATTTTATCTCTTCTGTTACCTTTACTGTATCTAA